AAAAAATCTTCAAAATTAGTATTCCTCGATCGGAAAACTCCGTTTCTCTACCGAAGGCTCCCAATAATAATGCCCAATTGTTTATACATATAACAATTTTTTCATAGTAACTATATTTTATAGGTCCGCCAAAATGCAATCGTGGAACCCATAAAAAATCTTTAGTGTTAAAGAATGGTTAAATAACCAATTGGGTATTATTGATTTTCAAGAATTCTATATCATTTCTACGAAAAGTTGGGTTGTTCCCATATAAAATACATTGAAAATTTTGCGCGCTTTGAGGGATCTTTAAATATTTTCTTTTTATTTCTGAATAAGAAATAGGGGTACATTTTTTCGGTATAGAATAATCCTACCACCCTAATGTATACATACCATGTTGGTGAATGTGTGCTAAATATCACACCCGCAGAGTTCATACACTGACTCAAACAAGTGACCACGTGTTGATTTTTATAAATATTCGCTTTTTTTCTATAAAATACCTCCAATATTTAACCAAAGCCATATAAATCACAGTTTCGAACTTCATAAAAAATTTAAGAAAATTCAAAAATTTTCATCAAATTTTCAACTTTGTGATCACGGGTGAGCAGTTTTATAGTCCATACAATTTTAGTCTAATGGAGTGCAAGTTTCAGCCACCTAAAAAATCCCATTGATTTTTGAGAATTTGTTTTTGGAGACTGCTTTTGCGGTGTTTTTGTTGTATAACAACGCAATTTACAAAACCTGGCCTTGATATTTTGAAATTTAGTTGCGAACGGTCTCCCGCATTTTATTTCATAAGAAATTCATGCATATATGGCAAGAAGTGCAAAAATCGGCGCCAAATACCATTCTCAAAAATCAACGGGATTTTTTAGCCGTTTGAAGCTTGCACTTCATCAGACTAAAATTGTAAGGGCTATAAAACTGCATGCCCAAAAATGTTCTAAAGATTCAGATTTAAAAGTTGAAATTCTGACGAAATTTTTTGGTATTTTCTTAAATGTTTTATGAAGTTTGAAACTGTGATGTTTATGGTTTTGGTTCAAGCGTGGAAAATATTTTTATAGAATATTAACAAAAAAATCTAACTCGAAAAACATGAATATTAAAAAAAAAATCAACACATGGTCACTTGCTTGAGTCACTGTACATACATATATGAATATGTATAATAAATGTGTGTAGAGCCTGCACATGTCCACAATAGACATAACATCTAAGTATATCAGTGAAGCCTTCAAGTGCGTACATACATTTGTACGTATTCAATGTTATTTAGTAGCTTTAACGAGTTTTTTTTTTTAATGAAATCTTTCCACGCGCAAAAGCTTTTTGAATTTCTTATGATAAGATGAAGAAATTGTTGGTTAGCTTTGATTAATTTGCTTTGTTTTTATAGCTTCTTTAAAATGTACGCCTTTCAGGAAAATCTGCCTCACAAAGGGGTATAACGTTACTGCCGTTACTGCAAAGCGCATAAAGCCCAAAAGCCCAATTGTTCTATTTACAGATTTGTATCTTACATTTACATTTTTATGACATCGCTGCAGACGTGGAGGAGTAGTCGAGTAAGAAAAAAATGAAATGTCAATAATAATCACTATAGCTCGAGCAGTGGTTGTAAGAGAGCGGCGATCTACGCTCTTTCCAGGAGGCTTATCAGGAAATAACGAAAATTTTGCTGATAAGGAAACTCTTTGTGCATTTGTAATGTTACTCTCAGCACTCAAAACGATTTTCAAGAGAGCAGACATTGTGTGCTTATCTCTTTCTTAAATATATATTTATCAGCTAAGGGATTATAAAACTAAAACACAGAGTAAGAATAAAAGCAAACAATATAAATATATATATGTATATACATATATTTGCTATCACTGGTCAGACTCAACAAATTGAAATACAAAAATATTTTTATCGCCAAGAGCAATTCACCAAAGAGCCCTTGCATCGAGTTATGCCGATGAACTAGTCTCTTTAAACCATCGCATAAAAAAGACGCGTTCGGTGTGCGCGGAGAAAGTAAAGCATACAATTTTAATAATAAAATCGCAAACAAAATCACAAACATACAGAGTGCCATATTTTCTAAACGTTCCAGAGGGCGATAGAAAAAAGTTTATCAAATCGAAAAAAGTGAAAAGTTCTCCCATTCGCATATTTGCAATAAAATTCTCAGTACTATTTATTAAAAATGCGCACATACATAAACAAAGTAGGTTATTTAATATTTTACATTAAAAATAAAATCTTGCAAACAACTTGACTACTTTCTTCATATAAACAGATACACAAATCTAAATCAAAAATGGAATATTCCTAGATTTCATGCATACATACACATATAGATACATACACCGTAAATGTACATGATCATTCATATACAATTCATGCTTTTGACGCCACCAAGTGCACTCAATCTACTGCATATCATCTACGTTCTATGTATTACAGGAGAGCGAAATTATCGATGTGCTCTGGAAGCAAGATGTCGATCTGGGTTATACATTGACACCACCGCATTTGCTTAACTCAAGTAGTAATGGTAAAGTTGCAGTGGTTTCTGATGACGACATTGAGAAGTTAAAAGCGCTAGAATACCTAAAATTAGATCAGGTAAGTTATAGCGGCGCTAGCAAGAGACTTAGAAAAGGATGAGAAATACATATTTATGAGTAGATACGTTATAGAAGAACTCTCTGAAAAATGTTTAAATGAAAAACTGTAGTAGTAAAATACCACCAAGATACAGAATTTCAAAACCAGATAATAAAATCGCAAGCTCGAGAGTTATAAGAGAGTGCTCTATGCGCTCTCCGGAAATTTCAAGTTGCCGATCAAACGCTGCGGCTTTATCAAAGCTACAAATTTTAAGCGTTTTACGTACCTATAGCTTGCGAGTTTGAGGATGAGCTTGATCTTTACTTAACCCTGCTGTGATGTTGAGGAAAATTAGACGAATTAGGGACGTTTGTAGGTTTTAAGAATTTTGTTTAACTCAACAGCTTTCGCTTTTAGTAGAAGAACAAAATGTGGTTTTAAAACAGTTAGCATTAAACAAATTTAGGTTGCCACTTTAAAGCATTTCCAATTGCGCAGTTAGAAAATACATAAATGATTAACTGTTCAAGTAGATATTTATTACGAAATATAGAGTTGAACAGTTTTTTTTTTATATCTTAACTATATACAGTGGGGAGCAGTGTTGAGTACATGGTGATTTTTGTTAAATATTTGCAAAGTTTTTTGTTATTTTTTCATAAAAATATGGTTCATGCTTTAAACAAAACCATATAAATCAAACTTTATACAGAACATAGAAAAATTTAAAAAATTTTCATAAAATATTTCAGCTTTTTAATAATTTTATTTTTCTGAGTATGCAGTTTTGTAAATTTAATAATTTTAGTAAATTGCAACTTTTAAGTGGTTACAAATTCGCATTCGCAAGCATGAATTTCTGATAGAAGAAAAAGCGCAAGACAACTTGCAAAGAAAATTAAAAAAATCAACGCCAGTTTTTTAAGGTGCACTTGTTATAATAACAAGTAATTTTTAGCAAAAAAAACGAGTTAAAAAAATATATATATATCTATATATTTCTTGATTCAATGATGATAACCAAATTGGTATGGGACCGCCTTTGAGACACTACCTTTCCGTTGCAAAAACAATTATCGAAATCGGTTGACGAGGTCCAAAGTTATGCGGTAACATACATAAAAAAAAAATAAAAACAAAAAAAAAATATTCCGACGAACTGATAACCTTCTCCTTTTTTGGAAGTCGGTTAAAAAAAAAACAAGCGAAAGCCGTCAGCAGAAAAAAAAATATTAAAAATCAACGCGATTTTGCAGCCGCTTAAAACTTGCACTTTATTATACTAAAATTATTAAATTTACAGAACTGCATGCTAAAAAAAAATTAAAAAAAATCGGATGAAAAAGCTCAAATTTTAATGAAAATTCGTTGCATTTTTCTAAGTTCCGTATAAAGTTTGAAATGTTGATTTATATGGTTTTGGTTAGAGCATGAACCATATTTTTACGAAAAAATAAAAAAGTAAATTAGCTGTACATATATAGTAGGACAGCATTTTTGCATAATCCCCCTCATTGTACTGCAACACACCAGTGCCGGATTAAGACTGCTCTACGTACATAGAAATAATGCAGCATTATTCTTCGAGCGCACTCTGAGACTGAATTAAGTAAATCTTGCTCATCCAAGTAAAAATTCTCTTTTTCACGCTCTAAGCCGGGACGAAGATTTTGAAGCTTCGACGCGCATAAATGGCAGAGCGCGAACAAAAAAAAATATTAAAAAAAAAACGATTAATGAATGATCTTCTCATCCGATCCGCTCAAAATGCAAGACCTATTATCTACAATAATAAAAATCAAAACTAATAAAATACAGTATATTTGCTAAAATAATTTCAGATTCAATGTGATGTTCAGAGATTTTAATTCTGAGCAAGTAATTTTTTATATGAAGTGAGTGTAGCACAGAGCAGACGTTTTGCAAAGATGTGTTGGTTTGATCCAATTTTAAAGGGATTTGTAAAGAAATCGCGCAATATTTTCAATACAACGAAAACGAAATATTTTACATTTACAAGGAAAGGACATACCTATGTTTTGAAGCGCAAGGTGAAAGAGTATGGCCCCGAAGGGCTTATTTTTAATTAAAAATTGTTGAAGGGCCAACAACAAACACGCGACATTTAGATGCTTTGTTGTTGTTTTATTTTTGCATGTCTTTCAATTTAATTTTGCGTTGTATAACATCTAAATGATACATATTAATTATTATAGCCAAACTTTGAGGACAAAGATGCTAATGTATCCGATATCGATGATGAATGGGCTGGTATACCATTCACGGTGGATAATGAAACTGGTAAGTTATATGAATTTATAAGTTATTATGAATATATGTATACGAAATATTTCTTATGTGAAGTGCAAGCTGCCGAATGTTGCCGAGCATTTAAAAGACTTGTGCCGAGTAGGATCGCGCATAGATTTTATAACATTACATGCGTAAGCACAAGCTCCCTTGTTTGGTGCGCAATTAGGCGAGGAAAAGAGGATTCCAAAACCAGCAGCGTTCTGGAAAATTTTTAAAAACGTTGCAAAGATTTTTTTTCAACTGCATACATACATATCGTCACTTGAAATGCAAAAAAACTTAACAACATCGCAACTAAAATGGAAAAGGTGGTGACTGATATTTTTATTTATTTATTTTTTCATAAAATGATATGGGTAGGGTAGTTGTAATTCGATGAAATCCATCATAGAAATCAAAAAGTGAAATGTGAATTTTATTAGTTAAGACTTTTTGCGTTTCAGCGATGATGTTGTTTACGTCTTTTTGCATTTCAGGTGACGATATCGAGCCCTAACCGCCAAAATAACGTAAGCGACATTTTTTGCAAAATTTTATTTTTGATGCAGAAGTGCATCTAGATGCTCTAGGAATATTTCTGCATCAAAAAGAAAATTTTGAAAAAAATGTCGCTTACGTTATTCTGGCGGTTAGGGCTCGATATATATGTATGTCTGTACTAGACATCTGCATGAGTTGATTCAAACTTCTAGCCAAACAGAGTACAGTAGATTTTCTATACAAAACACTCAGCGCTTTGAATTTTGTAATTTATAAATATACAATTTGTTTTAAATTTTCTGCCTTCAAATGGAAAAATGTGAATGAATGAATGAAAAGGATTCAAATCATGCAAACTCGTTTTGGTTATAGTTTTTTCTACAAACAAGTTTGTTCATATGTACATATGTATATACATATGTAAATTGACATAATATTTTTGGATATTCTTAGGTAAATTTGCCATTAATTTCAATTCAATTTATCTTCACATTGTTTGAATATTCCCAGCCAGCAAAATATCCGGAAACGTATCCGAAAATGGAAACAATTTCGTATAAAAACCTGATGTTTCATCCGTTTTCCGATTCCGCTTTCGGACGTTTTTCAGATCAATTCTCCCACTAAAGTGTTCAGCCGAAACGTATGTGCAGAAAACTATCGACAATGGTTGTAAAACGGATGCGCTTTCGGCTGTTCTCCTAAAATTTGTCTGATTCAATTTTTCGTTGAAAACGATTTCATTATGAACCTCACAGAAAATTTTTCATAGTTACTGGAAACCAAACAAAAAACAATTTTAAGGTTCAGCAATTACTTCAATTTGAATAAATAATTTTAATGTGTTGCTTCTGACGGAATTCGAACCTGGGACCTCCTGAAAGCTAACAAATAGTAGCACACTTCTCTGCACACTCACCTACTGACGAATACGTGTACATGTTTTCAAATACTCAGTTTGAACAAACATTTTAAAATTATTATTTTGAAATAAGATGATGACATTTTTCAGATACGAAAAATTAACAAATATGGAAATCGTTTTCTGAACATTCCCGGATACGAAAACTGCACTTTCGGCAAAAAGTACGTTTCTCTGCTGGCTGGGTTGTTATGACTACACCCATATCAGAACAATACATACTCAAATTCAAAAAAGTTTCAAGCCAAAATCATTCATTCTTATATGAATAATTTATATGCCGTTTTGAATGAATTCATGCAGCCCTCTAGTCTGTACATCCCCAACGGGGCCAGAAGCGCTCCATTAGTGATATAAGATTTTTCGTTATAACTCCTCCATTTAAGTAGCTAGTAACATGAACTGCACTGTTGTCACTCATTATTATAAAAGAATACTTTCAGTGAAAATGGCGAAGATCAGGTCGCTATAACCTATAGCCTCCATATGTTCAGATATGAGATTTTTTGCCATAACTTCTCCATTTATGCAGCTAGGAACATGAAAATTCTCACCGTCTTCAGTCATTTATTAACAGAATATTTACAGTGAAAATAACTAAGATCAGGTCACTATAACATATATCTCCCATTCAACTGATTGTTCAGATATGCGATGCAGCTGGGAACATGAAATTTCGCAATATTTTTTATTTTAAGCGTGGAAATAGCAGAGTTTACATTGCCGTCTTTAGAGCGTATCAGACCGGGCAATGCAGTATATTTCGAAAAGACTTTCAAATTGAGAAATTTCAGAAAGCAGTTGCATGAGCAGTGACACCTTGCATGTAAAGTGTCTTTCGAAAGAATTTTTTTTATTTCCGAAGGGCGAACTGCAGGGAAAATTTATGAAATCGCTTTTTGACTGTTTACACGGCGAATGAATTTTTAGCAATATTTCTCGATACTAAAATGCAACCGTGAGCCGCTAAATAAACAAATCTATAAAAGCAAGATAACGAAAAATAAATGGATTTAGAAAAACATATGAAGTGGGTCGATACTTCGTTTTTTAACCTGGTTTCCCCAGTAGGCCTAATCCATGGGCAACGTTTTTTTTTCAATGAAAGCAGGTGAAGGTGTGGAAATTAGTTTTACGGCGCATCCCGTTCATCGCTATGTTTATTGTTGTGGAGAATGAAATTATCTACAACTTTGAAATTTCAATATGCTATGTATTTTCACAGAAATTGTCAAAGAATGGCGAAAACCGTGACAATGTAAAATTTTTTCGAAGTTTTTGTTCATTTTTACAAAAAAAAATCTTTCTAAATTTTAATTTTAAAAAATCTTCTATATAACAAATCTGAGAAATTAAATTCTCTACATATTTGTATTTAACCATTTTTACGAAAAGCAAAAAAAGTTTGCAAATCGCAAAAAACCAAAGAAAAAACTTAAATCCAAGACGTCGAAATGTTCCCAAATGAAATGTAGGGGCAAGACTATGGATCCATGATCTACTTGTCAAATAGAAGTAAACTGCAACAAAAAATTGCTGTTACAAATTTTTTGTAAAGAAAAAGTCTAATTTTACTGGGCTATTAAGCATACGGGTAGATGTGTATGAGTAAGAATTTCTGAAACGGACCACTTCAATTATGTGATAATTTATTTACAATCAGCAAAGGAATTTTTTTATGATAATGCAAAGAAATGTTTAACTTTCATTTAAAAATATATATATATTTTTTTCTTATATTTCGACAAGTTTAGTTTTTTGTCCTTTTTACTTCAAAATTCAACTACAGTCGAACTTATTGACGATTTGGACAATTCAACCGTCATTTTCATTGTTATTAAAATCTCTTCAAGAAGGTAGGTTTTATTTATTTAAAAGTAAATTTTAATGGTAAATGTTGTTGTTTTGTTGTTTTTAAAAATATAAAAATAATAGTCTTCTCCACCACTTTTTTCACACAAAAAAACGAAAAGTTTCAAAAAGTATACGCAATTTACTTCGTATTAAATTTAATATATTTGTGGGCCTTTATCAAAACAAAGTTATCTAGAATCTAACCCGACATATGTACATACATGTGTATATCGAAATATATTCTAAATTTATCGATTACCGAAGGTTAGTCATTATTATTATTTTTTATTATTATTATAATTATCTATCACCCAACGACGACCTTACGAAGCTTCCACGCTTCTTTTTTTAATATTGGCAATAAAATATTTGCTTGCTTATTTGCTGAATACTTTTTTTTGCATTGCATTTGCTACGTTGCCTTTATTGAGTAGGTAAGTGTGCTTTAAAATTTGTCACACTGCTTAATAAATATGTGCTTTTGGAACTTTTCATTGGTTTATTATCATAATTTGGCTTTTAACGCGCTTGGTGTTTGTTGAAATGTGTTAAGCAGTATATTGGCCTAATGCTGTGAGAAAGCGACTTAGCACCAAATTTATGCACACTCTAAATATTTTTTTTTTACTCTAAATGTACACACGCCCATATGCATATACATGTGTAAATATGTACCCTACAGAAAATCTGACTAGCTCAGAACTAGTGTTAGTTCTAGCTCAATACCCAAGCAATGCTTCCAACTGTCCAGTTTTACACGGCGATGTCATTGGCGGAGGCAAATTAAAAAAAAATAAAAATTGATGAAACCCGCAACAATTTGAGTTCATTAAATTTGAAAACTCACAACGATGCTTGTGTCGTCGGAGCTCTTTTCGCTGAGCTACTTTCGTATTGTACGAGTATTAGGAATGTTAATCCTGGGATCCAGGCCTCTTTACGCTCCCAAAAATCCCGGGACTCTTGGCAAACAATCCCAGAACTTTCGGTATTTGTAATTTGCACTGATGGCAATAGTAGAAACTCCTTTTTTTGCCCAGTATTGGCTATATTTCTTTTTTTTTTATTAAATAATTAATGTTTTTGTTTTATAAATGTCAAGCTCATCATACATATAACACCGCGCGATAGTAAATTTTTAACACAAATTCGATTCAATAGTCCGGTTTTCCTGCAGGGACTAACATCCCTAACAAGGAGTGAGCATTTGCACATTTACACCGCAAGTTTCAAGTGTCCCGCTCGGCATCCGTTTTGCACTAGTTCAGAGATAGTTGTGATATATGAGCCGTTCAGTGCACGCATCGATTAACTCCAGCAACAAAAAGTTGGGAGATGCGATCAAATAGTGTACATTATTTTTTAAAATTCCATTCAATTATATAATATTGTTATGTACTATTTATGTTATATAAAATTATTATAAACGTAATGAGTTGTGACTATACCAAGTGCTTTGACATTTAAATTTAAGACTTTTTAAAAAGTGGAGCTAGTCGATGTGTGCACTGAAAGGCTCATATGTGGATCGAAACTAACGCTTTGTCAGACTGTCTCTAAATTTTACTGCAGGGTACATACATATGTACTATCTATGTAAGTATTTATGTATGTACATATGCATGCATGTTATTAAATTATTTGTTCACTCAGCTGGTGATAAGAACATTTAGCTGTGCGAGAGATAAGCAATGCTTTCACGTCTAGTTCGCACACATATTTTAACTTACTG